TAAATCCCCAGCCCCTGTTTGAGGGCTTTAAAGTAAAAACTTGGAATTAGAAAGTGTGCCCAAGGCCAGGCCTGCCATGTCACAGGGCTCTAGGGAGCCTTACGGACATCCATGCCAGTATCATCCACAGAGGCATGTGGTGTACTGAGTGACACCCTGCAGTGTCCAGCAGCAGCCCACATACGCTTGACCTTGAGAGGTTTCTGTCTGCCCTTCAGTTTGGCCCGGTTTGTCTTATCAGTACTTCTGAGCATTAAGATTTTTGAACTATTTTATCCCATTTTGGTTCTTTCTACTCTTAGATTTGGTCTGAGTAATGCAGTGCACATCATTGGAAGCAGGATATTCTGTTGTAGTTAGTCATGGTTTCTTTTTCTCCCTTCAGACTAATTTCTTACCCATGGAGCAGCTAGCCTCGGGTGGTGCATATCAGACACGTTCTGACTTTATTGGACTTAACACAGTTTTCTTCGTTTTCAGTTTCTAGAAGAAAATGCTGATCCTTCTGCCTTTGAAATTCAAGAAGAATTAGAACAATACACAACAAAAATTGTACAGAACAACCTCTTGGGGGCGCAGGGAGCACACGTGAGTTCTCACCATCTGTTTTCCTATAAGCCTGTTTTCAGTGTAATTATCACAGTTCTCTGTGTAATGTCATTTGCATATGATTTTGGCTCCTGAAGATAGACCTGAGTTTAAATCCCAATTTTTCCTCTGAGGAGTCTGACCTTTCAAGTTCTGCATCTTCCCCTAAGTAACTGTTTTCTCATCTCTACTGCAGGACCAGTGAGATAATTAGATGATGTTAGGCTATCTAGGTATAGTGTCGACTTTGAGAACAGTGTCTTATGTCCTTTTCGTCTTTTTCCAGCACTCTTTAAACCACTGTTACCTCAGTTTCCCCCCACCCCATAGCACCTGTGTAATGAAGTGGGTGGATAATCAACCACAGTCTTGAAGTGAGATTCACCTCCTGCCGAGGTTTTACACCAGAGGTTCTGATTCAGTTGGTCTAGGGTGGGGCCCATGTTGACTTACAGAAGCTCCCAGGTGAAACCTATTTGCAGCCATGCACAGAGCCACTGTCACTATACCTTCCTCAGCTCTAGGTTCATCTGAGGGAGGCAGCAGGCTGGGAATCCAGCTGCATCCTGAGAGGTTTGTTTTACAATCAGCAGTAACCAGCAGTTACTGAGTATTTACTGTATTTCTAGACCTGTAGTACTACACTGATGATCTCTTAGTAACAGCTGTCTGAGGTAGTTACTGTGATTATTCTTTACTATGAATGAGAAATGAAGCTGTAAAGGAGACATTCAGTAATTGGCACAGCTTGGCTGTATCAGGGGACTGTTGTGTTTTGTTTTGGTGGTGTCAGGGCCTCTACCACTGAGCATCACCCTAGTCTCTGGCAAATTTTATCTAAGAAAGTAAAGGTAGTTTCTGCTAATTAAAAATAAAACTTAAAAGCCATAGAATGAATACACATTGGGTTTTCCTCAAAATGACACACCAGAGCCCTCTGACTTTTAACAGGTGAAGAATGTGTGTGAGAGCAGGAGCAGACTCATTGCTTACTTCTGGAAAGCACACATGACAGCGAAGCGGTGTCCCCACTGCAAGTGAGTATCAGGGCACTGCCTTTCTCTTTCCCTAGGTAAGAAGGCTCTGGCTAGTCACTCAGAGCTATTGTTCCCTGTCACATGGGGATTTGTTTCTCTCTTCAATCACACCTGTCTTTATGTGCAGGACTGGGCGGTCAGTTGTCCGAAAGGAGCACAACAGCAAGCTGACAGTCACATATCCGTCCATAGTACACAAGAAGTCTGACCAGAAGGACACAGAGCCCCTGGGTAAGCAACTTGGGGGCTGGCAGGTGCGCACTGACCATATCTCAGGTATGGCCATCAGATGCACTGTGAGCCTTGAGAATACGAGCCCTCTTTACCACATGTTCCCTCGCTGCATGTTTGGGTCAGCACAGGGACAGTGTGCGGGCTTCTCACCCTAGGGAACTGGTGGGCAGGGCTGTTTAATGAGGCAGTAGATACCTACTCCACAGGTATCTCTGGCCTCAAGTGGCTGTTTCTCTGGAAGATGTTTGAATAAGAAATACAAAATTTTATCAGGCAAATATGTTGTAACATTTAATTGTAAAGAAAGCATGGATTAAAATGTGGGTGAATAATTTTTAAGACTTCCAGTCAGTAGAATGTTAGCACCATGTATTGGTTGCACGTGGATGTTCCCTGAAGCCCCTAGAGGTAGTCTAGACTGCTGTACCTTCAGGATTACTAAGGGAGAAAGTTTGAGACTGACCATTCTCACTTTATTAAAACATTGGTACTAATAGGCTTGTTTAAATGTGTTTTCTTGATTTTTGTTCTAAAGAGGTAAGGATTAAATAAGATATTTGTGTGAAGTACCAATACCAGCTTCTGCCATGTATGTATTCTGTAGAGGTTAACTGTTGGTTTGTTAATCATATAATCAACCTACTAGGGTAGAAGAAGGACAATCTATGATTGACAGTGGCCCTGGTATATACTCTGCATGGCTTGGAAAAAGCTACTTCCTGAAGCTTCAGTTTCTAACCCATATCCCAGCAGTATCAAAACCTCTTGCCTAGAGCAGAGGAAATTGTACATGGAAGATAAGGGATTTTTTTCCCCCAGGGCTTAAGAATATGAAACAAGCAAGGAAATAAGTATCCTTCCTAGAGATGTCATTTGTACTAATAACTCTGGCAAGGGTGAAATAACATCAGACTTGTTTTTTGTGGAGTTTTTGTTTTTTGTTCTTTTTCCAAGATTGAACCCAGGGGCCTGCGCGCAGTGCTTTATCTCCAGCCATTTTTTATTTTGCGACAGTAGTCTCACTAAATTGCCCAGGATTGGCTTGAACTTCTTTTGTTTTTGTGTTTGTGGTTTTTTTGTCATTTTGAGACAGAGTCTCGCTATGCAGTTCAGGCTGTCCTTGAGCTCACTTTGTAGCCCAGGCCGGTCTCGAACTCAAAACAATCCTCCTGCCTCAACCTCCCATTGCTGGGATTACAGGCATGTGCCACCACACCTGGCTCTGGCTTGAACTTTCGGTCCTCCCTCCTCAGCCTCCCAGAGTACTGGAATTACAGTCATATGCTATCAGGCCTGACCAAATCTTTCATTTTGTTTTTGAGACAGGATCTTGCTGTGTAGTCCAGACTGGCATTGAACTCACTATATTGCCCACAGTGGCCTCAAACTTACAGTGATCCTCCTGCCTCAGGCTCCTGAGGCATGTGCCACAATGCCCTGCCCTATTTATTATTTTTAAAGAAGCTTTATTTTGGAATAATACCAGTTTTTCCACAGAGAAGTAGCAAACATTAGACTTCCTATACACTCAGTTTCCCCTAATGTAGCACTTTAGGAGCATATGTCAAAACTTAACAAAATTTAACATTGGCATGGTACAATGAATTATCTGACAGATTTTATTTGAGGTTTATTAGTTTTTTTCACTAATGACCTTTTTGTGTTCTAGGATCCAATCAAGGATACCACTGCATTTAGAAAGCCTTCTTACAGGCTGAGGTTGTAACTCGGTGGTAGAGCATTTGCCTAGCATGTACAAGGCCCTGGTTTAATTCCCCAGGACCACAAAACAAACAAAGCCTGCTTCACTTTATTTAATAAACAGTGAATAGCACAGGATTATATTTTCTCTTGCTTGCCTGTAAATATCTCTTAACACAATTTTCCCTTAACACTAGTTGGAAATTGCTGTTGTAGCCCGTACGGTGCCCTGAAACATGCTAATAGAATGAAAACAAAGACAGAATGCTGGAAAGTGACTCCTCTGTGGGGCAGATGTCCAGCAGTTAAGTAGTCTTAAGTAGTGCCTTTGCCAAATCCATTCTTCTGAGGTGACCTTTCCCTGTAGCCATAAGAATAAGACATTATCTCACAGTGGAAACGTGTGTACAGTATCTTCATCAACTCCAGAGTTGGGCTGTTGTATTTAACAAACATTTAGTTTTTGGACATTTGACATTATGCCAATGGCTATGTTTGTGGGGTACCGTGGTGCCAAGATGGGGATTTGACCTTGTGGCCCCTACTTTCTGAGGAGACTGCAGGTGACAGACCATTAACTCTGACAGCAAGTGATCATCCTTAGTATGGTCGGGCCATGTTCCTCACACCAGAGAGAGTGGAGAAGTGAGGCCTCTGCTTAAATAGTCCCCACGGACTGGTGATCCAGGAGGAGAGCCATGAAAAGCTGTGTAGCTCCAGGGAGTTCCCCAAAGCCCTTGAGCACATTAGCATTTAGAATAAGAATTCTGGCAGCCAAGACATTCCCACCTGTGGAAATCCACTTTTCCCAGGTCATGTAACCTCCAAACCCACTTTGCAATTGCACCTGTTACAGCTGAAATAAATGCATATTTGAAATGCTCTAAAATTCGAGCTAGGCAGGTTTCTTTGTTGCACGCTGTTGAGCCTTGTTAGGAACAGGTGCAGCTCCCCTTGAAGGTGGCCTCTTGAGGTGTCTTCTGGTTCTTAAGATCCCGTGACCGAACCTCTGTGTGCCTTAAGGGTGACCTGAACAGCAATGAGGGCACTTCTGGGACACGAGCTGGGGAGATCCAACCAGTCTTCCACAGCCCTTCAGACATGGTTAGTGAGAAAGTACAAGTATTCATTTCCAGAAATGCTCACAAAATTGTTTAGGTTAATACGGTCTGATTTTTTTCCCACTGAACATACATAGCTTTCTAACGTGGTTCTCTCTGAAGGTCAGAGCTGCTCTTTGCATATCCACACTCTCTTCATTTGCATTAATTGGTTCAAATATTTTGCTATTAAAGATATGAAAACTAAATGTGCAGATTCCTTGATTTAGCAATTCCATTTCTGTCACTTTATACTAAGGAATTAGAGTACCCACAACATTGCTTAAATAGTTTGGACATGCTTCAATGGCCTGTTAATAGAAATTGGTTAAACAAATTTATGGTGCAGCTATTGTTATCCAAACAAGAGATTTCTTTGTTTTTTTTTTTCCCCTCCAAACTAGAGATTTCTGTAAAATAGCAGACCCCAATCTTTTTGACAGTGAGGACTGGTTGAAGACAGTTTTTCCACAGATTGGGTGCTGGTGGTAGCAGTGGTGGGATTTTGGAATTAGGTTCTCATAAGACTATGCAACCTAGATCCCTCACGTGTAAAAGTCACAATAGGGTTCATCCTCCTAAGAGAATCTAATGCCCCTGCTGATCTGGCAGGAGGCAGAGTTCAGGGGTTAATGTGAGTGATGGTGAGCAGCTGTAAATACAGATGAGGCCTGCTGACTTCTTTATCTGCTGTCCAGTTGCTAACAGGCATCAGACCTGTCCTAGTCCATGGCCCTAGGGTTGGGGACTCCACTCTAGCCAGATTCCCAGAGTGATCTTGCCTAGTCTTAAGAAACGAAGCTCCATCTATTCCTCATATCCCAGTATGGTGTTTGTGAAAAGAATGTAGATATCTATTTGTTCATAGACATGTTTGTACTCATTTACCCATGGTTCTCCTCCTTTAAGTCTTTTGGGCAAAGCCATATGTAATACAAGGTTACTTACAGCAGCAAAAAAAAAAAAAAGAATTAATCCAAATATCCAAATGTGAGAATATGGTTAAATAAATTAGGTAACAGCTGTATGAAATGTCATACAGCCATTAAAAATGATAGGCAGAATATTCACAGGATACCAAATGAACAAAGCAGTGTTCAAAATAAATACACATTTAAGATTACAACTGTGTAAAACACTTGCATCAACTAAAGGACTGGGGAAAAAAGTATACAAAAGTGATAGGGCTTGAGGTGTAGCTTAGTGGAAGAGTGTTTGCTTAGGATACGAAAGGCCTTGGGTTCAATGCCTAGAACTACAAAACACAAACCAAAAAGTGGGACAGTTATGTTAATGTGGTGAGATAGTGGGTAATGTTTTCTTTTGCTCTGCTTTCCAGGTTTTATATGTTAACTACTTTTGTTTTCTTTACTCTAAAAATTACATTAAGGGGGAAACCAGGACTGAGAATATGCTCTTCTAGAGATTGGTTTTTGTGGTTAAGTTTGGGCTTTTCAGAGTAAGGACAAAGAATTGGTAAATCCTACTGAAAGAGAAGTACTTGTTACTGATTTATTGTGCTTTTATTCCCCGACCTCCAACTCCAGGAATTGAGGAAGCTCAGATGGGAAAACGAGGATACCTGACACCCAGCAGTGCCCGGGAACATCTTGGTGCCATTTGGAAGAATGAAGGTGCTGTGCCAGGCTAAAAAGAGTACCCTTTTCTTCTCCCGGCTTTAATTTCCGTGACTTATTTCTCTTGCCTTACTGTTATAATTTTTTTAGAAGCTGTGATCATTGTAGTTCTCTCCCAAAGTCTGCCCATAGCTTTGGAACAGACATTAGGGTACAGTGAATTTGAGGCATTACAGATCCAGCACTATGACCTTACCAGTTACTGTAACTGACCTGGTTATATGACAGTCACATATCCATTTGCTTAATACAGTTTGGCATACGTCTAGAAGGCTCACTAGAGCTCACCTTCTTTTAAATGTTCATAGATAAAAGGCTCTTGGAATATTTCTATGGGAATTCATTCTGTGAATCAAAACCTAAAGTCTTTTTTCTTTATTAGGATTTGTATCCATTTCGGTTCCCTACAGCTAAGGAAATCCTCCCTTCCCTTTTGAGTATATAACAAAACCTATGGATTAGATTCAAGCCCTCATGCCCATCCTCTGAGAGTGTGTTCTGGAACACCAGCTCTGATCTCTGTAGAATGATAATCACTTAGGATGAACATGTTCTTAAAGGGATATCAAAAAAAAAGAACATATAACTTAATATGATCGTTTCTGTCACAGGCCCCTAGCACATTTTATTAATTTTTCTCTGTGATTTGTTTTTTGGTTTTTTTGTGGCAGAGTCCTACTGTATAGTGCAGGCTGACCTTGCATTTGCCATCCTCCTGCCTCAGCGTGCCCTACCATGTCTGGCTTATTGCACGACTTTTTAGGTTACCCGAAACCCAAAATACATCTTGGATCCACAGAACATCCCCAATTGGCAGTATCGTGTAGAGGATGTTTTTGGTTTTGTTTTATTTTAAGGATGCTACCTTTATTTTGGGTTGATTTTTTTTTTTTTTTTAAACAAATTTTTTGTATAAATGTCAAAGTAATAAATACTTGCATATGTGTCTTTTAGCCTGATAATACAGGAAAGTAATCAAAAACAAGGGAAGGCTTTGTTTTGTTCTTACCCTGCATTCCATCAGGTCCCTGGTTTAGCCCTGTTGTTCCTGCACTGTCATCAAGGAAAATAATGTGATTTTACTCTATATGTTACCCTCTATTGTGATTTTCTTGTCAAGCAGTAATATTTTTGTACCTGTCTTCCCATACCTTTACATCGAAATTTAAATGGTCTCTTTGGTTCATTTCAAACACAGGATTCTTTCTCAATTACCTTTTTTTGGGACTGGATGATGTTGGCATAGAGTCCAGATTCAACCCCAGTGTGTTCTTTCTGGATTTCATAGTGGTGCCGCCCTCCAGGTAATGCCCTTTACTTAATTTAAAAGGGTTGGCTGCGGAATTAAAGAAGGACCTTTGGGGAAGCGTGGCTAAGGGCACGGAGAAACCAAACAGCTCCAGCTCCAAGTCACACATGGGGGGAGTCCTTGCTTCTATTATTGCAAACAGAAGAGGACGGTTGGTTGTAGTTTCGAGCGTGGGAAGGTATATGGCTTACAGTCAGCAGGGGAAGAGGCTGAAGAACCCAACCCTTCCTTCATGCTAAACATCCCTTGATTCTCTTTGTGCCCCTGCAGGTATCGCCCTGTCAATCGCCTTGGGGACCAGATGTTTACCAATGGCCAGACGGTGAATTTGCAAGCTGTCATGAAGGACATAGTTCTGATCCGGAAGCTTCTGGCCTTGATGGCCCAGGAACAGAAGCTGCCCACTGACGTGGCAGCACTTGCCACAGATGAGGTCAGGGCTACCTGTGTGCTCATGTCACCAACCGCATGCTTCGTTCTGACCCAGTGCAGTGTGGACACAGACACTGCGGGTGATACAGCAGTGCTGACTAGATGCTTTTGGCATCCTCAGTGGGAGCTGAGAGTTTAGAGCAGTTCTAGTTAACATCAGAGGGACAGATGTGGGGCTGAGCGTGGAAAGGTCTCAGCTCTGGTCTCAGTGCTACTAACAGCTGTTCTGGGAGAGCCTTAGTTGAGTCGCTTTAATTTCTTGGATTCCTCTCTACTGTAAGATATGTAAGGTTTATGGTGACATTTCACACTAGGCTGTTCTGTCACCAGCAGCTAGCAGCTCTAAAAAGAAACAGTCTGGCTTCTCTGGGCTGTTAGAATGTGCCCCATCAGTCACAATATAGAACTCACGTCAGCTGGCTTTGTTTTGGGCTCTGTGAAGTGTCTGGCACTGGGGCTAGGAAGGCAGTGTTGTAAAGCGGGCATTTCCCAGAATAAGACTCTCACCTGACTCCTGAGCCCCTTCAATGTCTGTAGCCCTGTGCTGGGTCTTTAGTGGTTATAAAGATGAATTGGGCACTCAGAAAACATGCTGCGGCACTGAGACCTTTCCCAGCCCAATGATGCTGTGGAGGCAAACGGAAATAGCTGTCTCCATCCTTGGTTAGACAGGACTCCCAGACTCCCTGCCAGCTGCTGGGGCAGACCCACTGTCACGCTGACCTATTACAAGCTGGTACTGCAGTCTTTCTCTTGGAGATTTCTCTGGATTTGCTTAGTTTTCTGAGTGGCTAACGTTGGTATGCATGTAAGAGATTCTCAATATAAAAGATCTGTCCTATGAGGTTAGTCCAATTTAGGGAGGAAGACTATAGGATAGAGCTAATGACCAGGTCTGAGAGTTCTGATTTGATGTCCCTTGAAAATAGGGGCAGACCTTTGTGGAAAAAAAAGGGGCTTGGTCTGTGGAGAACAAAACAACATTCTGGTCCTTGTCACCCTCAACACAGTGGTAGGTTTCTTTTCTTGTTGACGGACGCTGGAGGACATGGGACAGCTGTTGCCTAGGTCAGATGAAGCCAGTAGGTGGCGCTTTAAGGCAGCCTAAGCCCTGTATTTCTCTTCCTGGGCAGGTGGAGAGAGAAAAAAAAAGACAGGGTCAGGGCAGAAATACTTAAAAGGAATGATTAGGCAGGGCATGGTGGCGCCTGCCTGTAATCCCAGCACTCGGGAGGCTGAGGCAGGAGGATCATTGCAAGTTTGAGATCAGCCTGGGCTACAAAGTGAGCACAAGTCCCTCCTGGACTGCACAGCAAGACCCTGTCTCAAAAAGACAAATAAAAAGGAATGGTTAAATACTCAGGCTTGGGGTTCAGCAGGTAACTTGACATAAACCACTTGGTTCCCATATCATAATTGTTATGAGTATATTGGATTAAATTTTTCTAAAAGCATAAATAAGGGGCTGGGGATTTAGCTCAGTGGCACAGCCTGGCAAGCACAAGGTCGTGAGTTCGATTCCCAGTACTGGAAAAAAAAAAAAAATTAAAGCATAAATAAAGGTGAAATTCCGTATTAGATTTGGTTATCTGGCAGGATAACAGGACTTCAGAAGTAAAATGTTAGGAACTAAATAGAAGGAGACTTGAGCAGTATCTTAAGAAAGGAGGCTGCATATAAATTTTGAGTTCATTTGACTACTGGAAAGAGACAGGCTGGTATATATTTAATGGGCCTGATGTCTCACTGATACATATTTACATGATTTATTAATTAGCACTGTGCCATTGAGCTGTCAGATTCAGAGCTCATTTTTTATCAGAAAATGTTTCTTACGTGCTGGGTAAGAAACCAAGACAGAATTTTTGTATTTTTTTTTTTTTCTACAAACCTGTTTTCTTTGTTTTATCTTTCCAGGAAAAAGACTCTTCAGTTGCTATGGATCGGTCCTTTCTAAGTTTGCTGCCTGGCCAGTCTTTCACAGACAAACTTTACAACATTTGGATTCGCCTTCAGAGCCACGTTAACATTGTGTTTGATAGTGAGATGGACAAATTAATGATGGAAAAGTTCCCTGGCATTAGACAGGTGAGCAATAAATTGGCTTTGCATCACTAAAGAGCATAAATAATAGACATTTGTATTAAAACAAGAAAACAATAAACATAACTGTGTTTTTAAAAAATGTTTTCTATGGACCTTTTTGCTCCATACAGATCCTAGAGAAGAAGGAAGGCCTATTCCGAAAACACATGATGGGAAAGCGAGTAGACTATGCGGCCCGCTCGGTCATTTGTCCCGACATGTACATCAGCACCAATGAAATCGGCATTCCCATGGTGTGTGTTTGGGGAGAGGCTCATTCGCTGCTGGTGGGCGGTGGATGAGAGTGCCAGAGAGGGCCGACGACAGGGTGTGTGGCAGGTTGGAATGGCTCAGGTGTGGAAGCTTCTGCCCCTTCCTCAGGAAGGGAGAGCCCATGAGGGAAGTACTTGGGCTGCAGCATGGTGTAACTCTCCTTGCCAGGCCTTGCCACCTACCCAGAGGGGAGACCCCTGCCCAGGGTAGCGGGTTGCTTAGGGCAGGGTGTTTTACACTCTGCTCACATATCTTCCTGCCCCTCTCGGCCTAGTCTTTAAACCTTCCTCATTCAGTTGAGAACATGACAGACGACAGGAACTGGGCAGGAACGTGTAACCTTGGTTACGTAGCAGGGTGAGGGGTTAGAGAAGGCCCCCAGAGAGGAGGTGTGTGCGTGTTGTTGGGCATTGCCTATCTCCCAGTTCCCCCTTGAGGTCACTGGCCCACCCCATTCACCCATTAGCGTTCCCTTGGCAAGCCAGCTTCCTTTTCTCCCCCTCCAGTTCAGACTGGTGCTCATTAGCAGCAGCCCTTCAGTCAGCTTCTCCTTAATGGGCCTTGAGGTCAATATTGTGAAGATGGTTTAATTCCCTCCGTGCAGTCTCATTTCCTCACACACCACCCTCCAGCCTCTCTTGGGATTACTGGTAATGAGCGCAGCTCTGGTACTCTGATTCTCTTGAGCGCACTTGAGATTCCTAGGTCTAGGCAAGAGCGTGGTTGTCAGGAGATGAGGCAGGACAGCATCAGTCCTGTGCCCACTGGAAACTGCAACGAAAGCTCGTCCAGGTGGCAAGGGAGAAGCACTGTGTGACCTTCCTGAGTCTGAGGCCCTGGGAGGAAAGGCCCTTTCTAGACAGAGGCAGGGGCTGCCCCTGCTGACTTCGGCCTCATGGTGCCTAGAATGTCCCAGTCTCAGGAGAGAACTCTAGTACAGCTTCACTTTCTACCTTTAAAGAATTCTTTCTAGACTTCTCTTGAGTCTGGGTTCATTTGGTGATGGCTTGTTCTCTGAGGAGACCCTCTGAAGTCACCCCTCTGTCCACCTCCAGCCTGCCCCAATCTCAGGGTCATAGAGGCCAGGTGGTTTTACTCACAGGATGGCTGGGAAGAGAAGAGCCAGTGAAACTGCCCCGCAGCCCCTCGTAGCATATGCTTCCCATGTAGCACTGTTAGGATGTGTCAGACAAGCAGGGAGATGAATGAGGTAAGCCTGGGCAGTGAGCTAGAGACCAGTATTGAGTCAGATTGCAAACCCGTGTTCCAGTAGCAGAGACAAACTGAATAAACAAGTATGTACATCAGTACTCTGTGAGACAGTAAATGGATTAGCAAAAATTAGGCTGAGAGACTGGGAGGTGCGGGGAAAAGGGTAGCCAGGGAGAGGCCTCTCAAAGTGCTGTTAAACAGAGATCTGCAGAAAGTTGGTCACACCCCTTTATGGAGGACATGCTTGAGTCTTTGACGGATTTGCATGCTCTTCAGGCATGAAGGGAGTTTGTAATATTTGGTAGCTCAGAATCTTAACCAGGGAACTCATTTTTCTTGGAGAGTGTTGTAGGCCTTCAGCTGACTATGCTGCATTTTCTTAGCAGAACTGCAAATCTGTTTCTTCTCAGGCAGCACCCTGATGGCAGTGGCTGCTGGGATGGTTAAGGCGAGGGTTTCTGAGGCCACGTCTAGGCTCAGGGTGGGTGCCGTGTTCAGTTAGCAATGTCTGCTAGGGTAGAGAAGAGAGCGGTGGTGTTCAGGGACAGGTATTGCCACCTGTCTCAAGCATGTGTCCCATGCTGTGTTCCCTTCTTTGGGGACTTTGAATCTGTTGGTCATGAGGAAAGGGTAAAGTTTTAGAATGCGTGAAAAAGGATTAATGCATTAACTGCAACTGCATTTCAAATGCTCAGACTGCTGGAAAAGGAGGCCCAGTCTCTATTCCTTAGGGGGCAAGCCTGGCAACATGGCTCTGTGGAGAAGACAGGCTGGGTGCTGCATTGCTCGCCCAAGGGCCTTCCTCAGGCAGACAGCTCAACAGAAGAAAAAGTTACGCATCCTGTTGACTCAGGTTTTGGATCCCTTTGACCTTTCTGTGCCCACCCTGAATGTCTGTACACACTCTTCACTTGTAGGTATTTGCCACAAAACTGACCTACCCTCAGCCAGTGACCCCCTGGAACGTCCAGGAACTGAGGCAGGCAGTCATCAACGGCCCAAACGTGCACCCTGGAGCCTCCATGGTCATCAACGAGGATGGCAGCCGCACAGCCCTGAGCACCGCGGACATAGCCCAGCGGGAAGCGGTGGCCAAACAGCTCCTGACACCAGCCACAGGGACGCCTAAGCCCCAGGGAACAAAAATTGTGAGTAGTGGACAGGTTGGGCCAGGGGCGCAGGTATCTACTATCTGGCTCCTCACAGTTGCCACTCAAACTGCAGCTCTCAGATCTAAAGTGGCAACATCCCTGGAGCTTGTGAGGTTTACATGCTCCCACTCTTCACACTGAATTAGTGTCTGTGAAGGTGATGTGTGGTGCCAGTGATAGCTAATAACTGGAAGTTTTAACTAATGCTTCCATTTGGGTGACTGAATTCCTGCTCTTAGGGCTGTGTTACAAAGCTCTTTGTGAGTTCCGCTAGAAAGTGCATGATTGATTCACTGTGTTGCTAAGGGCATGAGATCAACACATGACTGCATTTGTAGCTGTGTCCCACAGTAGCCTACCCACTGAGGGGAAGTAGCAGAAGACCCCTAATTAGAGGCAGACGTTGTCAGAGTGAAATGGATTTGATTTTAACTTAGAAGTGACTGCCCAGAGGCAAGAGGTAGTTGAATGTATTTTCCTACCTATCTGTGCAGCTCTGAGACCTCTTCTTGCTCTCTGACCTGTCATGCCCACTGACTAAATAGCTCTTCTTTAGTAATGGGTTCAAGCTACACAAGTTTCCAACAGCCTTGAGGGAGCTTTGGGGAGACAGGGGAAAATGACACATTCTTGGCCTAGTTGAGAACCCCACTGGTTCCTGCTGTTCTTCCCCATTGACAGCAGCACTGTGAGCCTGTCCTCTTTGATTTCCTGGTTCTCACAGCTGTCCTCAGGTAGAGCAGTAACTCCATACCCAGTCAAGTCTGCTTTGGTGACAGGGCATGTGCAGACATCAGATGAGGTCACCTGCTCAGTTGTTTTCTTGTGCATTGATTCAGGTTTATTTTTAGGCTCGTAGGAAATTTGGGACATAGATGTAGGCACTGTAGAGTTAAGAAAAAGCTATTGAAAGAGTTAAACTCTTTGAACGCAGAGTACTTGGGGAGAGAGAAGGAAGTGGGGAGGACCGGAATGTAGAAGCAAGAGAGAAGGGAAGGAGGGGAAGGGTTGAGTTTGCTTATTTTGTGTCTGCATCTGTTGCTCACTTGCGGTTGTGGGGTCCTTCAGGGTCAAGTGCAGGTCACCAGTGAACCAGCTGGAGGTGGCCAGGTCTTAGGGCCTTTGTGATAGGGAAACATACATGAGCTAAGGACATTTAGAAGGAAAAGCAAAAGGATATAGGGGTTTCTGAAATTATTGGGGTGTGAGGATGAAGCACAGGCACAAGGGAACTTAGGTTAAGGGTGTCGGGCAGGGGTCAGCTCAGGAGAGGGAGGTTGGCCTCCCTGCCTGCTCTGTGCTCCTGAGTAGTGAGTGAGACCTCCTGAGCCCTGTGAGATCAAATGATGGTGGTCCAGTTGGTTGTCTTTCCACTTGACTTCAGATCCTGAGCAGATTCACGAGTCCTCAGATTGTCCCTGGTTTGCTTGCTGGCCTCACCTCTCAACCCAGCCTTCAAGCTCTTCATTTATCCAGTCCCTATCAGTGGACTCATTCTCGGTTTGGTTTTGATTTTAGTTCTTTCTGTGCTTGGAACACTTTGCCCTTCCCCACCCGCACAGCTAACTCCACTGTTGCTTCAGGTCTCAGAGAAGTCCTTTTTCCCCTATGGTAAGGTAGTAAATACCTCAGGCTCTCTGGCCAGATGGGCCCTGTTGTAACTACTCAGCTCTTCGGTGTTATGTGAAAGCATGTGTAGGTGAATGTGAACTGCTGTGTGCCAATAAAACTTTATTTATAAATAAAAGTGGGCAGCCTGCAGGCTGTTCTGCTACATTCTGCCCAGTGTCCACCCTCATCTCTCGGAGGCTGTGGCCTTCATTTTGTTGTGTCATCACTGTGTGCACCACCTGTCAGCCTAAGAGCCTCTATATCCCAGGAGTTCAAGGGCAGGATATGCTATGCACCGCAGCCCAAGGTAGGGGCATCCAGAAAGCAAGAGTGTGTGGGTGTTGGTCAGTTTGTTACATGTTGATGAGGACAGGGCTGAAGGGCTGGGGGTGGTGAGTAGGAAGGAGAAACCAAGATTCTGTTAGGATGAACTACAGATGAGGTGAGAAGGGGGAAGGTTGACCAAAGGTTCTGTTCCCCTGTGAGGTGGAAACCTCTGGCCCTTCCCTGGGCCTCGTAAAGAAGAGAGGAAGTGGCAGGGACAGCCTAGGCTCGTTTCCCTGCCCAGCAGCTGCCAGAAGTAGGCCTTTGGCCCTGGGCCTAGCTCTGGAAACTCTGACCCGGGCACTGGGGCACACTAATTTTCACTGAAGTATTTATTTAGAGACAAGAGAAAGGAAGGATCTCGGGTTTGGGTTGGCAAGGGGAATGCCCTGTGCTCCAGGGCTTCTGTTTGGATTGGCTGGTGCCTGCCAGACTGGCCTGTGTACCTTCCCAGCTGCAGTGCATTTGCTTATGCTGGAGGATGTCGTGAATTTGCTAGGCTCAGATTCTAGGCCCAGCCTGGGATTTTGGGCCTGGGCCACAGGTCTGGGCAGCTTCTCCCTTGAGAGGCTAAAGAAAGAAGACTTTCGGCTGTGTGACGCAGGCAGCAGCCGGTGTCCTGGGTAGATGCTCATGGGAATCCTCAAGAGTTCAAGTCTCCTTGGAAACGTGGGACTTAGGGATGGGGGAGTTGAATTCATTAGAGAGCAAAAAGACTCCATGGTAGGTATTTTTCGGACTGCCTTTTATTTAAGTAATAAGTAAAAGCTTGAAGGAACTTTTAGCCCAGGTGTAAGAAGACACTAGACTTGGAGCAGTCTGTTGCTTCTGTTAGTCTTATATCTGCTGTAGCTTAGAGGAGATCTGGGATGGAGTGAGATATCCCCAAGTCTCAGTAATTCTCTGGGCTGCTGGGGAAGAGGGTGCTCAATGTGTCTGAGGCGAACAGCACACCTGTAATCCCAGCTACTAGAGAGGATGAGGCAGGAGGATTGCAAGTTTGCTGCCAGTCTATGCAAATTAACCGTCTTTAAATTTAAAAACTTAAAGGACTGTGGACATAGTTCAGTGGAAAAGTGCTTGCCTAGAATCAGCAAGGCTTTGGGTTCATTCTCTTATTGCAAAAACTTGAGGTGTCATTACCTTCGTTATATAGGAAGCCTGGTAGTTAATATAAGATAGTAAAAAGCTCAGCAAGCCTCATAGTAACATGAGCTTCGTGGAAAAGGTGTTCTGTCAGGACGTGACTGACTGCAGATTTGTTAGGGGAAAAAGTGAACAGTGGTTGTCTTTGAAGGGTAAAATGACTTACGGTTTTTTGGGGTTTTTTTTCTCTTATTCTTTAAGTTTATCTGTATCTTGTATGTCCCCCCCTCTGCCACATGAGCATATCTCTTGTACAATTTTTCTTGCTTTCTTTAAAAGTAATTGAAGATCTTTTTCAAACTTTTATAGAAGTACACATTCATATAAGAGAAACAATACTGAGATGTATAAAGCTTAAGGTGCCTTACTATTTTCTCATGGGCCTGTTCTCCCAAGACTGTAGTAATAGCTGAAGGACCCCAGCTACTTTTTTCCATTTACAGAGTTGAGATGGATTTTAAATTGCTTTATCCGGTCTCCTTACATGCTACCTAGATTGGGGGTGGGGAGGATAGGTTCTCACTCGTGGTCCTGGCTGTTTGGGTTTTTTTTGGTACTGGGAATCGAACTCAGGACCTTGTGCTTGCCAGGCAAGTGCTGTGCTGCTGAGGTACATCCCTGGCCCTAATCTTGAACTCACTAGGTAGCCCAGGCTGGCTGACCTCAAATTTTTCATCCTCCTGCTTTAACCTCCAGGCATGCACCACTGTGCCTGGCTTGGGTTTCTTTTTCTTTGCTATAATACTTTGTTACCATCATTTCCAGACATGTATATATTTAACTTATTAACCTTTTCATCATTGCATAACATTCTGTAGTATAGATACACTATGATTTATTGCCCCTTCTGTAAGGTAGTCAGATTATTTCTACTTTTTGCTACCATAAATACTGCTGTATGAACATATATTCATGTAATCTTGCTTTGGTGCTTTTTATTTCTCTTGTGAAAGACTAAAAAGGAAATGTGTTCAGATGATCTAGTGGCTATTTTCAAACTATTTTCCAAAGTATTGTTGCAGTTTACACTTCTTACAAATTTTTAAAAATGCATTGAAGTGTTTTCTGAGAACATTAAGCGGGAATCAAGAACCCTGATTTGTACTCCTGGCTCTGCTGTATGAACTTGGGCTAATTGTTTCTGAAACATGGACTTGGTATTTAGAATCACATGCTCACGTGTGGCCATGGGGAAATTTGCTATTTCTGCCAAGTTTTTCAAACCCAAGGACTTTGTGGTTACACACAGGTGTTGAGCCTTCAGGAGTTGTTTCCATTTCATTCTTAAGGTTAATTCTCAGAGGAGCCCAGGACTTTGGGAAGGCTGTGCATCTCTGACAAAGACTGTAATTACTGGACAGAGACCTATGGCCTTGGCTGTTCCTTGTACCTCTGAGACCAAAGTGAGGACAGGCTGTGTAGGGCCAGGACTCAAGGGCTTGGGAAGTATTTCTCATAGATTTCTAAGGTTTTACTGCAAGCTAAAAATCCCCTGGCATTTAGTTGACTAGGACATGAGATGGGCAGAACCCACTCTGGCCAGTGTTAGGTGTGCCTTCAGAAGGTACAGCAGTGATGCTGGGATTCCTGCTGATCAACCACCTGCCCTCCACTCTGTCCCCAGGTGTGCCGGCACGTGAGGAATGGGGACATTCTCCTGCTGAACCGACAGCCTACCCTGCACAGACCTTCCATCCAGGCCCACCTCGCCCGCATCCTGCCTGAAGAAAAAGTCCTACGGCTGCACTATGCCAACTGCAAGGCATACAATGCTGACTTTGATGGAGATGAGATGAATGCTCATTTCCCCCAGAGTGAGCTGGGCCGGGCTGAGGCCTATGTTTTGGCCTGCACTGATCAGCAATACCTTGTTCCCAAGGTAAGTCTGAATAGGCAAGGTGGTGCATGCCTGTAATAATCCTAGGACTTGCGGGGCTGAGGCAAGAGAATTGCCATGAGTTTGAGGCCCGTATAGACTACTGAGTAAGCCCAGCTTGAACTACATAGTGAGACCCTATCTCGAAAAACAGAAAATAGATCTGACCTTGAAGCCTTGCCATGGTCCATTGCAGTATGTCTTGGCACCTTGAACCCAGACCTTCACCAGCTCTTGGTGTTAGTGGGCAGTGGCCACATGGATCAGAGGGTCCTAGTTTCTTCTAGGTAGTTTTTGGCCATTATGATGGCCATGCCAAAAAGCCAAGTTCTGTATAAGTCTGGAGTTGGAAACTTACGTGTGGATTATATAACTGATTGGCATCTGGCAAACATTAGCATCCAAAATGATCACATTTGACTTTGGTCCTTTGACTTCTGACAAGCATGAGTTTTAAGAGGTAATTTAACCCCAAAGGGCCAGATCAGGTACCTTTTGTAGGCCATGAAGGGTCTCCTCTTTGCATCCCTTCTTTCTCTAGCAGCCCCAGGTGGTCACTATTGTCCAAACACACAGGAAGAGTGTTCCTCCCACCTCAGCTGGCCAGGCAGCTTGTGCAAGGGGCCCTTGCTGGCCTGTGCTCATGGGGGGCTGAGCAGGGAAAGAGCCAGGCTGCAGGAGAAAGGGTGGAGCATGTTCCAGTCCCTAGTTACCCCTCACCACCTGCCCAAATTGCTAGGCCAGTGACTAGAGCTTTCAGTAACACAAAGAGCCTGCCGAGGCATGCTTGGCTTTGCTTTGCCACCACTGTTCTATGCCTTTTCGAGTTTAAGCGATTTACATCACAGTGATTCACAGCTAAACAATTCATTTGGATTGTCATGGCATCTGAAAGTGGGTAAAACACTTTGGAGACTAGGCATTTCACCTTGCCCACAGCTCTTAGAGGTAGGTGCTATTAATGTCCACATTTTATACTTAAAGAATCTTCATGGGGTTAGTTCTGCTGCAGAGATTAATAGCTGTGTACCTAGGGAGCACTGGGTGCTTCTCAGATGATCAGCACCAAGTACCACCCTATACCCCTTGGAAAATCTCTGCCCCATTAGCCACCTGCCACCGAGGAGTTAGGCAGGAGCCCAGTGTCCCACCCAGGGCATTTTCCCACCAGATGCCCCTGAGTTAAACTGGCTCAGGCAGGAGCCAGTTTGAGTTGAACTGTTCCTTCTCTGCCCACCTCAGTGGTCTGTTAACTATCTGAGGGATAAAAAGCAGGAAGAAAGGGTTATGGACCCAGTCAGATCACTTGGGAATTAGAAAATACAATTTTGCTAATGTGAAGAATAGCTTTTCAACTTTTCATGTCAATAATGACAGCAGTAGGAATGGTGCCAATAGAAACCACCACTTATTCAGCAGGGTGCGGGCCTCAGGCACCACATTTTCTTATGTAGGCCTTGCAGTGACCTTATGAGGTGGGTTCCATCTTCAGATGAAGAAACACTAAGAGGGTAACTTGACAGTCAGTAATGAGGCCAGAACTCAGACCCAGCACCTTTGGACTCCTGAGCCTTGATGCTCAGCTGTGTGTGCTCGTAGCTTCACTTGACAGGTAGGACTCAGGCTGGGGCTGGGTGAGGGCCTGGGGCAGAATGCAGCTCCTGGTACTGCTCCAGCTAGAGTCAGTCCCATTTCATCGGCGGGGACTACCAGGGAGCAGCAAGTGGACTTCTGCTGGCAAAGGGACCCAGGATCTTTAGCTATGTGGGGAGTTGAGGATTCTGCGACCCTCAGACCAGTGAGGTTGGATGTTCGTTGATTAAGTGCCAAGTAATAGGCGGCTTCCTGCTCATGTTGTGTTCTGCAGAGTGTGCTGGCCTATTTAAATGAGCCTTGTCATGTGCTCGCATGCTGTGAGTTTTAGGTTGGGCTTACACTTAAGAGAGACAAGCAGAAGCCAGGTAAAAGAGCTTGTATCAATAAGTTAATTTGTTGAAAAGGAAAAAAAAAAACTTCGGGGATGAGATGAACATTCACTTTCAGTCAGTTTCTTTTGTCTGAAGTAAAGTTAACCTTTTGATTCTTGATAAATTCTGAGTCATTAGTATAAATGCCAAGATGTGGGATCCTTATTTTTGCTAATAGCTATAAAAATGCAGCATGTCTTTGGTGGCTTAAGTCCTAAGAGAACAAGAGTTGGTTTGGTTAAACTGAGAAAGCCAACTTATTGTGAGCATTCTCTTTTTCTTGTGGTACTAGAAGTTGAACTCAGGGACACAATCACACTAGGTGATTTGGTCATTTTTATTATTGTAGCTTTATTTCTATTCTCCATTTCTGAATTCTCTTTCTTAACTAACTACAATACCACATTAAAATATATTTTATTGTTGGCTATATATATCAAGTAAAGTTTTGGGTTATCATCTAAAGTATGAGATGAACTGTAGGTATTTCTTTTCTAAGAAACAAATTTTCTTCTTTTTTTTTTCTTGTCTTTTTTCTTCTCTTTTTGAGACAAGGTCTCAATGTGCAGTTCAGGCCAAATAGCAAAGGCTGGTCTCAAACTCACAGTGATCTACCTGCCTCAGCCTCCAAATTTTCATTTATCTCTCTTTGAGAATTTTTCCCCTTCTGTTCATTGTACTGATTGAGAACCAATGCTTTGTAAAAAGTTTTTAAACAAAGCTTGAGACATAGTTTCCTAACTTCTACTTAGCTGGAGAATTCAAGACACAAAATATTCTCCAGACATTCTGATAGAAAACATTAATTTTAATGGCATTTTGCTGTGACGTTAAGTGGAATAGGATAGCTGACAATTTTTTGGAATTTTGATTCAGAGGTGTTTTTTATAATCCTAAACAGGATTTAGGATATTGAGAATTATAAGTAGACCCCTAATAATTGCTTCAATCAGCATTCGTCCCTGGAATTCATGGTTATCGCATTGAAAACAGTTTAGCCCTTTAACTGATTTTCTAGTCATGAGAGAATCTGGACACAGAAAACACTGACTATATCACATAACTGGTAATTATGCTCTTTAAAGGAAGAAAGTAAAAGGAAAAAAAGATCTGTATCTGCCCCCAAAGACTGTGGGATGAGTCAAATGCATAATACTGGTTTAGATTTTTCCCACAAGCAAAACAAGACCATCTTTGGAACAAAATGTGGAGTGTAATTTTTTTTTATTTTTGTTAATAGCTCAAAGCCTTCATAGGAAGGGCTGTGTATGCCATTTGATCATGCCTTGCATATTTATGCCCATCTATAATAATTATCTCGGGGCTGGGGATTTAGCTCAGCGGCAGAAGTGCTTGCCTGGCAAGCACAAGGTCGTGAGTTCGGTTCCTGGTACCGGAGAAAAACCAAAAAAAAAAAAAATAATGATAATAATTATCTCTGAGTTTACATAGAGCCCATCACCGTGAATTAGATCATTTGACAAGAACCCTTTTTAGCATTTGAATTAGTACATGTGGTTAAATTCCTTTCACTTCTGCATGACAGCATTTGTGAGTTCCTTTAGCCTTAGTGATGAAACATGGCCATAGTATTGGCTACTATTTAACAAATAATCAAAGAATAACAATCTTTAGATCTATGCCCAGGTTTTTCTCAAATTCCTGTAAACATGGAAAAGTTTGCAAGACTACTTCTTCCAGAAGGTCAGTGATCAGAGCTATTTTTGCTTTAGTGAGCCTTTGGTTGCCATGAACACAGACCTGACAGAAAAGGTCCAAGAGTCTGGGGATCACAGAGGCTGTGAAAACGTCACATGAAATGAATGTGCCCACCAAATCTGGAGTTTCTGTAAAACCCGTTGGTTTTAGGATTTGGTAGATAACAGTCTTTTTCAAGGGCCCACCCTAAACCCCATGCAGTATTGTGCAGAGATACTAACAGTAGACGTTCTTTCCTCCCACAGTCATGAACATCAAGGCCCTCTGATAGCTCAGTCCAAAAAGCTGTGGCTCAACTCCTCCCTTCCTGAGCTGGCTGACTCCAAGTCACCCCTCAGGCCACAGCTGTACTATTGCCCCTCAGAGAGACCTATCCTGAACACCACCCTGCCAATTTATTTTATGACCCAGCCTGTGATTTCCTTCTGCGGCATTTAAAGTGCTTTGTGATTGTATGTTTATCTAATCATGTGTTTACTATTTGGCTCATCCTCATCAAAAAGGTCTTCCCAGTGCCTAAGCATACAGTAGGCTCTCAATAAATATTTGTTGAATGGATGACCGATTTACAGGAGAACTAGGCCAGAAATGTGTGAAAAACACTAAAGCATAAAACCAAAGTATAAAAACAAGAACACAGCTAACAGCAGCCAGACCAAATTTATGCATAAATGCCAAAAATCTGCTAGAATAACTAGAACCAGATGGGACTAAGTAGAGAAGGCTTGGAGAACTGGATGAGTGTGAAGCAGTTAGAGACAGGGCAATGGCAAATGGCAAAAGTAGAAGCTAGTGGTGAGCCTGGTCTCATGATTTGGGAGGCAGTTTGTTTCCAAGAACAGGCCTAGTGTGGACATGAGTGGGACAGTATGGGAAGGCTCTTTCTAAAAGGCGGCTTCCAAGCAGATGATTAGGAATTAGAGTGTGACTTAAAACTTGTCTTTGTTCTTCTTTTCTTGTCTGTTTTGATTTGTAGGATGGGCAGCCATTGGCGGGATTGATCCAAGACCACATGGTTTCAGGAGCAAACATGACTATTCGAGGTTGCTTTTTCAACCGGGAACAGTATATGGAGCTGGTGTACCGAGGACTCACCGACAAAGTGGGGCGTGTGAAGCTCCTTCCTCCTGCCATCCTGAAGCCTTTACCCCTGTGGACAGGAAAGCAGGTAACTGGGGTGCAGGGGGAGGGACTGCTGTCCATAAAAATGGGAAATGGGAATGGGCAGTCAATCAAGAGTAGTCTGAGAGGCTAATGCTGGAAGATCACAAGTGTGGGCAGCTTGTTGACTTAGCAAGACCCCTGGGTTCAGTCTCCAGTGTGTACACACACACACACACACACACACACACACACACACACACACATATATATATATATACACAATATCTGACTCTCCCTTTATTTGGAGTCCCTAGGTCTGTGTAGTTCAAGGAAAGGTCTATTAGAGTAGTAGGTTCATGGTTTCTGTTCTTGGCTTGTAATTTAAACTTGGTGTGCTCATAATCCAAGTGTAGTAACTGATAGGAATAATAATGTTTGTTGGGTTATGCCAAGTGCTTAGCTGAACACATTGGATACTTTATCTGATTTAATACGCACAACCAACCTACAGTTAATTACTGCTCATTAACAAATAGTAATTCTGAGACTTAGAAAAGTTAAGAGTAGATGCTCAGAGCTATTGGAGCCAGAACTAGGATTCAAACCTAAGACTTTTCAACTCTAAAATCATCATACTATAATTCTTCTGAATAACCAAATAGTGGTTACTTGGTAATCAAATAATGAAATACAATAAATTATATTGCTCTGCTTTTGGCTGGCCTTCAAGTTCAGCCTTTAAGAGTCAACTTCTAGTTAGCTATGTGAATCTTGGTTCCTTCATAATAATGGGGGTTCAGTTTGATCATCTCTAAGATCTTCTTGGTAGTATAATTTTTTTAAGTCTGTGAACCTGAGATTTGACTGGTTTTCAGTTGCTATGGTTTATTATGGGGGCTGGGGATGTAGCTCAAGGGTGCAGTCCCTGCCTTGCAAGCTAGAGGTCCTGAGTTCGATTCCTGATAACCCCCCCCAAAAAAAAAGATTTAATAGTGGGATGAACATTATCTGGTCACTGGTTTTTATATAGTGTTGAACTCCACTTGCTAATTTTTGTTTTGAATAGTTTTTGCATCTGAGTTCATGAGGGATGTTGATCTATAGTTTTCTTGTGATTATCTCTTGTTTTATTATCAAGGCATCAGGTATTATAGAATGAGTCAGGAGGTATTCCCCTATTTCAGTTTTCTTTAAAGAATTTGTGTAATGTTGGTATTATTTCTTCCCTAAATGTTTGGTGGAATTTAGCAGTGAAGGCACCTAGGCCTAGAGTTTCGTTATGAGAAAGATTTTGGGGTTTTTTGCTTGGGTTTTTTTTTTTTTTTTTTTTGGAGGGTGGTGTTTTGTTTTTACTTTACAAATAGTTTTACTTGATTTATAAAATTTTAGATTTTGTTTACTAAATTTCTGTTTCTTTAATAGGTTGCTGTGGTTTGAATGGGTTTCCCCAAAGTTCCTGTGTTGGAAACTTGATCCACACTGTAGCACTATTAGGAAGTGAGACCTTGGGCTAGGTATATAGCTCAGTGGTAGAGTACTTGTCTAGCATGTGTCAGTTTGATCCCAGCACCTCAGAAAAAGAAAAGCAAAGGGAAAAAAAGTAGGCTTTTTAAGAGGCAATTATAAAAGATTGAGTTTATATACTATCGTAGTTACTTTTCTCTCATTGCTGAGACAAAATACCAGACACCTAGAATTAAAGAAGGAAAGGTTTACTTAGCTCAGTGTGTGGAGGTTTCAGTCCATAATCAGCTGGGTCCAAGGCAGGATGGCGTGGCACATAGGCAGGACAGCAAAAGCAACAAGAGCAAAAAGTGAGGGAAAGCAAGCCTCTCCTTCCCTTAGGTTGTATGCTGGCTACCCCATGCCGTCTCCCTGTACTAGTCTTCCACAAACTCAGTATGTTTACCAAGTAAGGACCGTCGCCCCCTGCTAAGTTATACTTCTAAACTTCTCAAGTTGACACAATGTATCAACCATTACAATATACTCTACCTGCTTTGCCCTTCCACCATGGAATTATGCAGCAGGAACACACCACATGTCTTATTCCCACTCTTTTGGATTTCAGCCACTAGTACTCGGGAAGAAATAAATTTCTGTTCTTTATAAATTGCCTGGTCTGTGGAACAGTATTTTATTATAGAAGCACAAAATGGACCAAAATATAGATAGAAGACAATTCACATTTTGATTTCTTTTTTTTAATGGTAGCAAAGTTATTTAAAAGGTAGGAAAAGAAACAGGCTCTGCAGAGCAAATTTAGGCCAAGAAAAGTATGGAGGAAAAGAAGTACACCTTATAGCTTGAGGGTGGACCATCCATGCAAGAAAGAACCACTGTGGTTTGCTTCTTCTTCTTTTTGTTAAATTTGATCTTGAAGGAGCTTTAATAGTCATGTTTTTCAAGGATCTGCCCGTTTCACCTAAGTTGTTAAATTTTTATATATATTTTTTGTGGGAATTGAATCCATGTATTCTACCACTGAACTATATCCTGAGGCCCAAATTGTTAAATTATAGGCACAAAGGTGTTCATAATTTTCCTTTATTGTCCTATCTGTAGAATCTGTAGTGATGTCATCTCATTCTTTTTTTAATTTTTTTTAAGTTTTTTTGAGACAGAATCTCACTGTGTAGTTCAGGCTGGTCTTAACTCGCTGTGTAGCCCAGGCCAGTCATAATGATCCTCTTGTCCCAGCCACCCAAGTGCTGGCATCTCTCTCGTTCTTGGCATTGATCATTTGTGTTTTTTCTCTGATTTTCTGATCAGTTTGGCTGGAGGTTCAACCGTTTTATGGTAGCAGAGAGCTAGGTTTTTGGTTTTTGGTTTTTTTGTGTTTTTTTTGCGGTACCGGGGATCGAACTCACGACCTTGCGCTTGCCAGGCAGGCGCTTATGCCACTGAGCTATATCCCCAGCCCCAAAGAGCTAGTTTTATAGTGGTACATTGGTTCACAGACTTTATTCTTTCCCCAGTTCTGGTTGCAGATTGACTCAGATAAGAACCAAACCAAATTCAGTGGTTTGATTTAGTGTTGCCAGTTCTTGTTGAGCTCAGTTTGCAACAAGAATCATGGAGAAAATTGAGTCAGTGAACTGAGGTACCAATTATTCATTACTATTCTTTGTTTTTTTTTCTTTTGTTCTGTATTTTTTTGTTTTGTTCTCTATTTTTTTGTTGTTGTTTTCTAATTCATTGATTCACTCAGACTTATTATTTTTCTTCATTTACTTTGGGTTTTATTTTTTCTAATTCAAGTTGAAACTGAAGTATTCAGATCCTTTTCTTTTTTGATATATGCATTTTATTAGGTTCCTTATGTTCTGCTTAAGAGGTGTGCTGCAAGTTATATTTAGTATGTTTACGTTTGTCCACTTAAGAATTCTAATTTCCCTTTTGACTTTTTTGACCATGAATTACTTATAAGTACATTATTTGGCTTCCAAATTTTAGGTATTTCTAGATATTTTAGTTACTGATTTCCATTTTAATTACACCATGGCAAGAGATGATTGAATGACTTCAATCCCTTTAAATGTATTGAGATTTGGAAACGGTATTTGGCTATCAAGTCTACTGTTTATCCTTGTTGATCTCTGTCCTTTATTGCTGATGCTCAGTGTCTTAAAAACTGCTGCAGATTCATGTTGCTTTTGTTTTTGTTATTTCTTCTGGGAAGGTAAGTCAGGTCACCATTGCTCTATCTTGACCAGAAATAAATTTAACAGGATAGATGGAAAATTTTGCAGTTTAAGTTAAAAATCTGGGGGCTGGGGATTTAGCTCAGCGGCAAAAGCGCCTGCCTGGCAAGCGCAAGGTCGTGAGTTCGGTTCCCAGTACCGGAGAAAAACCAAAAAAAAAAAAAAGTTAAAAATCTGTACATAGTTCAGGGATTGGTGTCTTTTTCTGTTTAAAAAAAAAAAAGGTAAATATTTTTAGCTTCGTTGATCATAAAGTCTCAGTTGCAGTCATTCTCTCTGCCATTGTAACATCAGAGCATCTATAGACAACATATAAATGAATGAGCGTGGCTGTGAACCAATTTTAACTGTTACTTACAAAAACAAGTGGTAGACCAGATCTGGTGTATATGCCCTAGTTTGCCATTCCTGATTTAGTTTGCTGTTTGTATTTGTCTACTTTTATTGCTACTTGTATGTCTTCATTTTATAAGCCATCTCAGATTACCTGGGAAGTTAATGGATTTTAAATCTTATGTAATTATCTAGAATTTAACAGTATGTTGTTTAAACAGAAAGTAGGATGTTCAAAACAGAATCAAATAGTGGCCAAGAGTATATATCCATGGACAAACATACGGTTATTCGCTTCGATCTGGGAATCCAGCCTAACGAAATAATCGAAAGAAAAGCTACTATATGATGGTTTATAGTTGTTGAATATTATTAAAAGGTTACTCAACATCAGGACAAAGTAAATTTTGGCACATTCATTTGCTAAATATTACATAGCAATTAAAAATCATGGTTTTACAAGGCCAAGTGACAATGTGGGGAAATGCTCTGACATAACACTAAAAGAAGTAGACACAATTCTATGTAGTCACAGCTGTAACCATAATAAAATGTATATGAGGAGACATTTGGCATAAAAAAATCAAAGTAAGAGAATTTTGTTCATGTTAAGGATGATTTGGTTTCATTTTTAGTATTTCTGGGCTAAGTAAAATTAGAAAACAGACTCAGGTTTTACTGCTGGCAGAGTTGAGATTTTTCAGTATTTCCCAAAAGCTTGGAATAGGCTATTTCTTTGCAAATAGGTGAAAAGGGCAAGAATGACTACACTGCCCAGGAATTTGTTTAGTGGCTTAGTCTAGTTCTACAGAGAAAAGCCATGTTTAGAATTTGGAAAGGAAGAACTTAGGAAGTTTCTTTCCACCATCCCAGAAATAAAATCTTAGTGTCTTTCTTCAGGACAAATCATACTTTGCCTTCTTTCTATGAATCAGGGTCTCCCATCATCTGTTGAAAAAGCATGCAGATCTCAAGCATACAGCCCATTGAGTGTTCACAAGGTGAATATACCTTTGAAAACTCTCCC